GTCTCATTCCAAAGTTGGTTCTTAAGACTGTTTCAGTGTGACTGGTGACTGGTATGATCGTCGAAACAGATGTAATACTATTAAGCAAAACTCACATGTAAGACCGCCAAATGTTTTCAGAAAGAGTGTTTTAACCGAAATCACTGCTACTCGGTAAAAAGTCTTTTATACGAAGATAATAGGTTGGTGGACCGCCGCCGTCGCTTATTATGTCCACGGTAACTCTTAATTAAAGTAGACGCTTGGCTTTCGTTTCTGTTCCTGGGCTGTTCTACGGTTTCGTTGGCCCAACCGTAACCATAATTTTATCAGACCGCGCGCGATCGATTTTTGCTGCCTTCTCTATCGTTTACATACATGCTCAATGCAACTTCTAGTGTTTTGATACCATTCTCGAGCTACGTTTTATTGTTGCTTTTTGTATCATACTGCTAGGCAATATCGCTCAATATTTTGGTCTTGCAGATTTAATGTAAAATAATGGCTGCCTTCTTCTTTAATATTAAAAATAAAACTGCTGTAGCTGTAATTCTAGAATGTCAAAGGTACAATGATTCTGATAAACACTTTTCATTAAAAGCCAGAAGATTGTTTTACGTGCCTATTTACAATTATAGCCTACTATTTCAAAAGATGTTTCATGGCGTTTTTGTTAAACCAAACTTCGAAGCAAATATTTGCTTGGAAAAGCATAATTAAAGGAGTAAGAAATAAAGCCAACAAGTGATAGGCATGGGCGTCGCCAGGATTTTTTGTAGTTGGGGCAAAGCACATTTCCCCCCGAAATCCCTGTACTTCTCCCAGCATGTTTTCGATTTATCATTTTTTGAGTGTGGGGGGGGGGGGGGGGGGGGGGGGGGGGCAGGGACATTTCCTCCCCCCCCAACCTTTAAAGTACAACAGCATGTCGTAACTTTTCTCTTTTTCTCTCCTTGTTTTTCCTGGGGGGGGGGGGGGTAAGCGCCCCCTTGCCCCCCCCCCCCCCCATCGCGACGCTCATGATGATAGGCCTAGCACATACAAATAGTGAATGTTATAAGTTCAATGGTAAAAACAAATTCATTAGGTGAGGATGGAATGTTCCATTCCACGAGGCGATGCCGAGAGGAATAGAATATTCCATCTGTCACCGAATGAAATTATTATGTCCATTATACGAATGAAGAACTTTCATTATTTGTTTAGACAACTCCTCAATCAATCCTCGTCATCGGGTTGGTAACCTGTAATCTGGTGCTGTGAATGTACAGCAACAGAGCTATCAGAGCTGTGTGACAGCGCCACCGGGCGATGGAAGCTCTATTTGTGTGGCCGCGCCCTGCTTTGGGACGAGAGGTTCAACGACACGTGATCAACGGCCAACCAATTAGAATAATAATTAGGGGCATCCATTCAGGCATTTTATAAGAAGGGAATAATAATATGTGCTTGGCCGATATCTGACACTATGTTTAAGTCCGGTATTATGTTGAAGAGTGGTCTTACACATAGTGTTAAATATCGGCCAAACACATATTTATTCTCTATCATAAATACCTTTTCAGTCAAAAAATCAAAACTGTTCTGTCACAAAGTCCAACGAAGTCAAACAAATTGTAAAATTTCAACGATTATTGATCAAAAAAATTCCTCAAGTTTCTTTCTTTCCTTTGGCAAAGAAACCTACATTTGATTGCAATAATGCAGTATTATCAGAATGTAATAGTTTATAAACTAAAATAATAACCAGAAAAAAAAGGAAGGAAGCTATTCTTCAAATTGAAAGTTATATTTATTGAAGAGTGTGTGTTTAAACATTATACCGTCACAATGATCTTCAAAAAAAAAAGATAATAAATAAACAAGTTAAACACAATACATCCATACTATAGAAATAAGGAGGTTTTTATCGCCACATCAAGAAACAGGAAATGAATTTGGTAAACAATTATTTGCTTGGTAGAAACAGCTGGTAACCTGTTTCTACTCTAAAGTGTCATGCAATGCAAATTGCTTGGGACTGGTATTCAGCTCATTCATGCTTAGCACACAAACTTGCCGAGCAAAATTTTCTAAAAAAAGCTCAATGAACTCGGATCCTGGTTTCGAGACATGCGTTTATATGTAAATATGTGCACGGTTAATAGTACATCTGCAAGTTATTACTGATGAGATGAGGTTTCTAGCGATCGTCAGTTTCATTTTACATTGGCTCCGTCAATGAAAACTTCTTCTTACTCATAATGCCGTCTAAAATATATTTATTTTAGTGTGATCAAAATAAACCTAATGGTATAAGAGTGGTGTGAAAACGTGCGTGCTAATTTTTTTTTAAATTCAAACAGACTCGTGTACGAATAATTGAAAGAAAAATAATAATACTTATTATTCTGATTGATTTACATCTAAAGCAAAACGGTGCAATCAAGTTCACTCTTATTTGTTCACTAAAGAAACAATCTGACAATCTATTCGATGTAGCAAAATAAACTCGGAGAATCGAACATACACACAACCATTCCTTTGTATTTAAACATAGCTTTCTAGCTTTGATATGACTATCTTTCTAAATTAACTTACATAAACAAAATTCAAATATTTACACTTCGATCAACGTGGACTATATTTGATCACTCTAAAGACGTTAGTCCGACTGCCAGTAATGTCTCCTCTTTATACTTGTGCTTACTTTCCGAGTATTTACTAGTCTAGGAACAAGTCGTTAAAAAAGGAATAATGATTTATCATTTTTACCTGTCATAGTTTCATTGACAGTGCAGTACATTAAGCGATAAATATTAAAGTTCAATATCAACGACTTTAGTTTATTGCTACTTTTATTCCCAAAGAGTTAGAATCCAATCCATTCCACTGAAAGTAGAAAACGAAGAAAAAGATTACCATCGATCCGATGGATTTATCATCGATCTGATAGAGTCTTCACTTTAAAAATGTTTTTTTCCCCTCCAAAGTTAGCCTTAATTTTACATTGCAGTATTTTTTTCTCTCCAAATATTTTGTAACCCGCTTTCAGTGAGTGATCAAATACAAAATTCCTCTTTAGAAATACTGATTCGAAATTCTAGGTCACAATGAAGTCAATGCAAAATCAATAACGAATGACCGACTACAAATCATTACAAGTGTTAATTTTTACAAGTAAATGTTTAATCAGAATGTGAATCGAAGCAGATTAGGGCTGTACCGAATATTCCGAATAGTATATCCATTCACCAAATATCCGAATAGTATATGTTTTATTCAAATATTCGAAATCTTAGAGCGGCTTTGAGGAGGTGATGAAAAAAAAATCAACGATGTCATTTATTTAAATTGTAGCAGTTGCGTGGTTTTATTGGTTGTCGATATGCCCAGCTTTCATGATTGAAACGCTTCTGTGAGAAGTATTAGCTCCAATTTCTTCTTTCAGATCAGTCATCTAGCGACCTATCTGCAACTCGAAAATATATAATTCGACACGCGCATGCAGAACCCGAATGGTGGCCATTAATAAGGCTGGCGGGCGCATAGGAAACTTGATCAATGCCTTTCGAGTTTTCGAATATTATAAGTTAGAATTACCAAATGCAATGTACCTACTCTCAGATAATTCCACCTAAAATGACGACAAATCTACTAACTTGTTCATTAAGACTTCGACAGATTTATACAAATTCTTATTTTCTTGCATTTTTCAATTATAGAACAGTTCAGCATTTTTTTGAGAGAATAAACATTCTGACAACAAAATGTTCTTTTTTTTACTTTAAAGACATAGTACTTTGCTCGTAGTTTGCTGAAATAATATATTCCGGGAGATTTATTTTACTTATCTTCCATAGTTAAGCAATAATGGGTTTTCCATGCTATTTAAAACATTTTTGTTCGAATTCGCAGATTCTAATAATTATTCAAATCTGTCCAGCAACATCGATGCACTTGCAATGTTTAATTTCGTCTTTTGTCAGACAATTTCGAATTCAGTTCAAACAAAGTCAAACAATGAGTACACGTTTTCGAATCGGAGTATTCGATTTTGTCTAGTCGACGCCGAATCGTGTGGTTCAGAAATCAAATACATCTGATGCCACACAAGTTTAACATAATTAACATTATGCTTCGTAGTGATATCTCCAGGGACATATAGGCCCCAAATAACAATAAGTCTTTCTTTCCTTATTTCTTCAAAAATGTGTCATTTATTTTGATTTGATCATTTTAAAATTTAGACTCAATAGTTTAAGCAAATTACACGGGTTTTATGGGTTATCGATTCGTGGCTTTTGACATTTTTTTCATTGTAAGACTTTTTTTCTCCTGTATATTTTAAATAACGTTGTATTGTTGATTACTTTTTGGTAACTCTTCTGTGAGTTAAGTACTCTGCTTTGGTCTGAAAAATCAAGCGAGCAAATGTGCCAAATTGTATTGTTCTTGGGGATATAAGGAAAATTCTTTGAAACACACCAGACTAATTTACTTTGCACGACTTTTAGATTGATAAAAGACGAATTTGATCTGTGACTGCTGCCATTCTGCAACAGCATCGACGAATTTGATCATTATTAATGACAAATATTCTGGACCCGGTGAGTAAAGAGGGTGACCAAACTTTGAAATGGAGTGGTAACTTTAATTTTGGTAAAAGTGTGTGGGTTTTTTTCAAAGACGAAATCGAATGTTAGAGTTCAACTTGGTGACTTTAATGAATAGAAATGTTTAAAACCAGCCGGGAAAACCTATATTAGATGTTTATGCATAATGCAACTTTTTGACAATGAAGACTTGCCAAAAAAAATAATTAGGCCTAGTTAACTTTGACTATAACTGTCCAAGTATGCACCCAGTTAACCCAAACTGTAGTCAGCTCGGTACAAGTTTGACCCTTTTTTTTTGCAATCAAATCTAGCTAGGTCTTTTTACATGTGTTTTTTTAAACTCAAGTTATACCCTTCTTTAATTGTCTTAAAAAAAACATTCTTCATGTTATTTGAGGGGGAAAAGGGCGGAAATCCGAGAGATTAATTTGGGCCCGTTTCGCGTATTTTCATGCCGCATGTTTTCAGGGAATATGGAGCGGGGTGCCAGGTGCGCCACGAAATACCCCAGTCTGCAATAGCATGCTGACTGGGATAATATATACCGTTAAGGTGTGACCTCAGACAGGAGTTGAACCACCAGGCCCCTCTGTGTTGATATGCGCAATTCCATTTCCAGTTGTCATTATCCGCGCCCAAAGCTGTGAAGGGAAACCCCTTGCTGTACTCCAGAGAGTCACCTGCAGTGCTCTTGTTATCGTACTTATCGTAGCTGAGATTATACTTACCCGGGAAGAGTTTGAAATCTGTGTACCTTGCCCATGCTGTCTTCCTATCCCAGTCCTCCAGATCCACTCGTAGCTCCCATGTTCCTTGTGAATCATCAGACGTCAGAGTCACCAAGTTGTCGTTGCCCAACCAGAACTCACCGGACAGATTGCCAAAGCCAGACTGGTAGGCGGCCCAGTTACGCCAAAAGTCCACGCTGCCATCTTGTCGCCTCTGAAACACGACCCATCCCCCGCCGTCGGTTTCCATGTCACAGTAGACGCGAAGGCTGCCATTGCCGAATCCCTCTGGGTTGATAGTGTAGACATCGCTTGAACGATACCCGGCATCTAAGAGCATCTTGCAACTTCTGTAGCGATTCAAAGAGCAATCACTCAGTGAGTAGAGAGGTGTGTCCTCATCTGCATCATAGTACAAACTCCCCAGAGTTGCACTGAAGTTTCCTGGATGCTCATTCCTTGTAGCCTGGTTTATCTCGCACAGTTTAGTGCCTTCGTCAAAGTTAAAAGACATGCAGTGCATATCTATGCTGCATTCCCGTCCGCAGATGATGGCAGATCGCGCAGTTTTGTTCAGGTATGTAAAGCCTCTTAGGGCGCGGTTATCTGCAGCGTGAAACGTGCGCGTTTCTAGGCCGGCATCGCATGAATGTTCAAATCCGAAGGCAGCTGTTAACGCCCCCAATGATATGACATAAGAAAACATTTGAAAAACAGAGATTTGATTTTCCATATTTTTGTTATGATCGGCCGCCCAGTGTTGGATATTCAGAGATTAAACACTAATGTTGGATTCTATAATGCGATTTCAACAAATAACCAATTTAGAGACGAAGCTAGAAACGGTTTAAAGACGTTTAGGGTAAATATGGCAATTCTTATTCCAAAATCTGTTTCTCCAAGTCTGTTGCTGAGCAACTGGTTACAACGTGAAAACAGATATACCAAATCGCACGTACGACCGCAAGGATTTATGCAGAGAAATGATTGTCCGTCCCGGCGGTGTCTTCGCTTTTTATCTGCGGTAAGTCGTAATTAAAGCGGACCGTGATGTTAATATCTATTCCAGGGCTGCTGTCAGAATTGAGCTGGTTAATTTTCCGAACAATACCTGCAGTTCTGTCATTGAGTTTCTGTAGTCGTTCTGGCAACGATTTTCCGGTCGTCTTGACTATCACCCATCAATTTTATGCTCGATTAAACATCCCTTTGATGCAGCACAAGGCTAATACGTTCCTTTTGTTGCGGTATATCGATTTTATAGCGTGCACGTCGAGCAGGCAATATTAGCTCCCCCCCTTTTTTTGATTGTGTGGAGGTCAAGTGTCCAGAGAAAAGTATGTCTACATTTTTGAGCGGATGTGCGAGTGCGGTTCCAACCCCCCCCCCCCCCGACATCAAAAACTGGAGACGTCACTGAATGCACGTATCTCTAATAGCACGAAGAATTAAAGCGCCTCTTTTTCACCCCTTAAAAAAATTGCCTGCAATGTCTAGTGACACTGGCATAATGTCCATGACATTGTTGGGTGTCGATGGCATTTCAATATTCAGGACATCGTCGAGTGTCAATATAAATATTCATGGCATTGTCTAAGAAACAAGGGCGGATCCAGGGGGGGGGCAAAGGGGGCCATGCCCCCCCCCCCGAAAAAAAAAACGAAACAAATTTTTAAAAATTTTTTATGTGACATCGCAATAAAGGCAGGCAATGAGTACACCACCATCTGTTCCTAAAAAAACATTGGTTAAAGTGGTCAGAAATTGCCTCAGATCGCACCACAGAGCATCTAGAATCCACAAATGTTCGGGGCCCTTAAGCGGGCCCCAAACCCCGCGCCGTAATTTTTTGACCCACTTTTTGGGGGGACCAAAATTGTTTTGGCCCCTCCCAAAATTGTGTTCTGGATCCGCCCTTGCTAAGAAATGCCATTCACAACAACACAACGGGACTGTCAAGACGTATATATCAAACTGTGGCTTAGAACATACGTGATTTCCCTATGATTCTCTACATAGCAAGGATAATCACTAAGGTTATGTTTTCAATGGTCAAGTTGTTTTATTAAATCGCCTGTGCCAGAGAATACACTTAGAAAACTGCATATCAATACAACTTTCATGACATTCTTTGTTGGCCGGCCCGGAATGTGTTCTATAAAAATGACGATCACAATCACAATGTTCTGTGCCCAGCAAACATTCGTACATCTTCCTTCCAGCCGGTCTAGGTTTTTCATATTTCTGCGCTCGGACTGGAGAGCCTTATAGAAATGGCGCACGGACAAGATTTGGAACTTTTAAAGTTTGAAGATTACCAAGGGTGATTTCGAACCGTTCATGACTCCATATATCAGAGATAAAATTGTGACTATAGTCATGCGGTATAATCAGAATTATCTAAAATATAAACCGACAACACAACAGAAATAAAGCAGGGAATGAATGAAAAATACTTCGACCTGAAAGTTATTTTTTATTCAAAAGTGATTATTGAATCACAATTTTCTAAACATTTTTCTTTTCTCGAGAATAAAACTATAATACGGTGTACAATAAGATTTTAACACGCGCATGAGATTGCATAAGAGATTGCGTAGTACAAACTCCCCAGAGTTGCACTGAAGTTTCCTGGATGTTCATTCCTTGTAGCCTGGTTTATCCCGCACAGTTGAGTGCCTTCGTCAAAGTTAAAAGACACGCAGTGCATATCCATGCTGCATTCCCGTCCGCAGATGATGGCAGATCGCGCAGTTTTGTTCAGGTACTTAAAGCCTCTTAGGGCGCGGTTATCTGCAGCGTGAAACGTGCGCGCACCTTGGCCGGTAGGAAATGAATGCTCAAATCCAGAGACAGCCGTTAACGCCCCCATATATATGACGTAGACCATGTGAAACATTTGAAAACAGTGATTTGTTTTTCCATATTGTTGTTATGATCGGTTGCCCAATGTTGACTGTTCAGTGATTAAACACTGATGGTGGATAATATATGCGAGTTTAACAGATAACAATTTTAGAGACGAACTTTAACACGATGAGATTAAAGTGGAAAAGTGGAAAATTTCGCAAAACTCGCATGTAAGACTGTCAACTGCTACCAGACAGGGTGTTTACCAAAAAAAGCCAACTTCTCCACGGCAAGGCTATACGAAGAGAATGGGCTTGTAGACCATGGTCTACGCTTAATATGTCGACAGTGTCGCGTAGTCAAATCGGACGCGTGATATTAAACTCTATACCATGGTTGTTAGTCTGAATTGAACAATGAGGTAAATTGGCCGCACGCTTCCATATTCACCGTCTTTTACTTTCAACCGTCTAACTTATGCTCGATTAAATCTGTCTTTGATACAACGCACGACTTTCAATAATAAAATAAAAACACGAGCCCTCTTTTTCACAGCTTTAACAAAATATATCGCAAATATCTAGGCCTATACATATTTAAACTATTTCCATTTTTGTCCACGGCGACTGATTGTTTGATTGCCGCATTAAGAAAACGGGCCAAAACTTGCATCCGTGAAAGAGGCTACAGAGCAGGGCAGAGGCAGCGCAGCACAATAAACATTTAAGAGTCATTTCGTGTAAAAACTTCATATAAGTGTCCACGCTCAAAAAGCGAATTTTTTTTATACTTTGTGGGATGAAAGGACTTGGGAAGTAAGTAACAAAAAAGGCTGCAAAAATTCATTTTGAGCTTTTTTTGAAAGATCATCAAGCCAAAATGCGAAGTAATTTCACAAAAGTAACTATATCACCACAAAGTATCATCCTAAGAAAAATTTTGAACACTTTTTAAATATCACATTTGTATTATTTTTTGGCACTACAATTCAGCATGTTTTTACAACTAGCAAAATTGCAATTTTTTGCCAAATTGTTAACCCTCCAAAATGCCACTTGCTAGGGCACTCATAATAATTTTCCTTTGGCTATGGTAATTTTCACAAAAACCTCAATCAAACATACACACAACCATTCATTTGTATTTAAACATATCTTCCCAGTTTTGTACTGCCGGTACTGTCTCCTCTTTATACTTGTGCCTAGACTAGTCGCTGTTACCAGTAACGACTAGTCTAGGAAAAAGTCGTTAAAGCGTAAACGGTTTTTCCTTTTTACCTTTTAGAGTTTGATCGTACAGTGCAGTACATTAAGCGATACATATCATACTTAAATACCAACGATTACAGTTTATTGCTACTTTTATTCCCAAAGAGTTAGAATCCAATCCATGCCACTGAAAGTAGAGAAAGATGTTTCAAATTTACCATCGATCCGATCGATTTTTTTCACTTAAGAAATGTCTCTTTCTATCTCAGGCCTTCAGTTTTACATTCCAGTATTTTTTTTTCATTCAAAATATTTTGTTACCCGCTTTCAGTGTGTGATTGAATACAAAATGACTCTTTGAAAATAATGGCTCGAAATTCAAGACCACCATTAAGTCAATGCAAAATCAATTACGATCGACCGACTGCAAATCATTACAAGTCTAATGTTTACAAGTAGGCCTAGATGTTGAATCAGAATGTGAATCGAAGCAGATCTCAAAGCTGTCTGATAATAGGGCTGTGCCGATTATACCGATATTCGAATACTCGATCATCCACAGAATATCCGAATAGTATATTTTTCATTCAAACGTGTTCTTGAGGAGGTGATGAAAAACGTGATGGAAAAAAAGTGATGAATATCGTATTTAAATAAAACGATTAATGTTGAGTATGACTCTAATTCCGAAAGAGTTACAATCAGTCCATTCCACTGGAAGTATGACATTGCTTAAAATTGGAACTGTATTTTCCGAATTAAGGCTTTTATTCTTACATTCGAGTATTTCTTTTAACTCCAAATATCCTGGTCCCCAACTTCGGTCAGTGAAAGAATCCCAAATTACTCTTTGGACATAATGGTTCTAAATTTCAAGACCACAATGCTAAAATCATTATGGTTAACTGAGTGCGAATCATTACAAGTGTAATATATTTACACATACATGTTGAATCAGAATGTGAATCAACGCAGAGACACAAAAGCTGTCATACAGTATTGGACCAAATAAACCAAATATTCAAATACTCGACCATCCACCGAATATCGGAATAGTACATTTTCATTCAAACATTCCAAAATTGTGAGTGGTCTTGAGGAGGTGATGAAAAACGTCCACGATGTTATATATTTTAATTGTAGAAGTTGCGTGGTTTTATTATTTGTCTTTATGTCCCACTTTCCATGCATGATTTGAGATCTTTTGTTATAGGGTATTAGTTCAAATGTCTTCTTTAAAATTTGTCAAATATCAACATATCCATTTATAATCGGAAATATTTATATATTTTTTTCAACAAGTGCACACAAAACCAGATGGGCAGCATTAATGAGGCTGGTGCTTGTAAAACTTGATTAATGCATTTCGAATTTTCGAATATTCACAGTTAGAACAATCGATTAATGTACTTAAATTAAATATTCGTGGATAATTCTACTTAAAATGATGATACATCTACTAACATATTAATTAACACTTATTAACAGGGAATATATGTGTTCTGAGCCGGTTTTACACACTGTGTTTAAGACCGGTTTTTAGTCTGGTCGCTGATAATGACCCGAGCCAAGGAGCGTCATAAATACCTTTTCAGTCATAAATGCCTTTTCGGTCAAACAGCCAAAACAACTCAAAAATTATATACATTTCCAACGATTTTGTTCAATAAGTGTCCTTCATGTTTTTTAAAACCCCTTTAACTACCGGTACGATTTGGTTTACCTGCCCTCGCGCCAGTAGTGGAGAACAACTCATTTCATGAAGATTGGCGCGCACGTCGCACGTACTGCGCGATGTGACGCAGAACGCAGCTGTGCCAGTGTAGTGTGACTACGAAATACTAAGAAATACTGACCCACTGATAGTTTTGTGCATGCCTACGTGAGGATTGTGAACGTTCAACCAATACGACGGTAAAAGGCACCGGTTTTTCAAAGGAGTCCAGATTTCATGTGACGCTGGAAAAGTGTTCAAGACCCGCCAGCCGGTCTTTATCAACTGTTTAAAACCGGCCACGCGACGGGCTCTCGACCAATATGAATGGGTAAACTGTCTTTGTTATTAAGAATTAGGATTTATACACATTCCTATTTAATCGCATTTGTTAGTTACAAAGCAAAGTATTCTGTTTTAGAATGTACATTCAGACAAAAAAAATGCTCTTTATTATTTTATTTTATAGACAAGTTGTACTTTATCCGTAAGTTGTTGAAATAATGTATTCCGTAAGATTGTTTTTTATATATGTCAATATTTTTTTATGTTTTTGTTAACATATGTTAATTGCTTATAACAGATTAACAGTCCAACCTCGCGCCCAGCTGACCCTAGCTTTAGTCAGCTGGGTGCACTTTGACCATTTTCTGCAATCAAATCTGATTAGATGTTTTACAGTGTATTGCATCCTTTCTGAAATATTATCTTTTTTTAATTGTTTTCCAAAAACCTCCTTCTTTTTGTTAGAGAAGAAATGTGGGACGACAAGAAATCAATTCAGGCCCGTTTCCCGTATTTTCATGGCGCAAGTTTTCAGGGAATAAGGATAGGGGTGCCATGTACGCCATGAAATACCCCAGTCGTCATTAGCATGCTGACTGGGATAATATTGACCGTTAAGGTGAGACATCATACAAGCATTGAACCACCAGGCTCCTTTGTGATACTTAGCGCAATTCCATTTCCACTCGTCATTGTCCGCGCCCATGGCTGTAAAGGGGAACCCCTTGCTGTACTCCAGAGAGTCACCTGCAGTGCTCTTGGTATCGTACTTATCGTAGATCAGATTATACTTACCCGGGGAGAGTTTGAAATCTGTATACCTCGCCCATGCTGTCTTGTTATCCCAGTCCTCCAGATCCACTCGTAGCTCCCATGTTCCTTGTGAATCATCAGCCGTCAGAGTCACCAAGTTGTCGTTGCCTAACCAGAACTCACCAGACAGATCGCCAAAGCCAGACTGGTAGGCGGCCCAGTTACGGTAGAAGTCCGCGCTGCCATTTTGTCGCCTCTGAAACACGATCCATCCCCCGCCGTCGGTTTCCATGTCACAGTAGACGCGAAGACCGCCATTACCGAATCCCTCTGGGTAGATTGTGTAGACACCGCTTAAACGACACCCGGCATCTAATCGCAACTTGCAACTAAGGTTGCGACTCAGGGAGCAGTCGCTCAGTGAGTAGAGAAGTGTGTCCTCATCTGCATCATAGTACAAACTTCCCAGAGTTGCACTGAAGTTTCCTGGATGCTCATTCCTTGTAGCCTGGTTTTTCTCGCACAGTTTAGTGCCTTCGTCAAAGTTAAAAGACATGCAGTGCATATCCATGCTGCATTCCCGTCCACAGATGATAGCAGATCGCGCAGTTTTGTTCAGGTACGTAAAGCCTCTTAGGGCGCGGTTTTCTGCCGCGTAAAACGTGCGCGTTTCTAGGCCGGCAGCACATGAATGTTTACATCTGGAGGCAGCCATTAACGCTCCCAACGATATGACAAAGACAATGTGAAATATTGGAAAAACATTGATTTGTGTTTCCATATTTTTTTATGATAAGTCGTCCAGTGTTAGCTGTTCAGAGATTAAACACTGATGGTGGATACAAGAAAAGAGTATATTATGCGAGTTCAACAAATAACCAATTCAGAGACGAAGTTTAACACGGTTAGATTAAAGGTGTCAATTCTTATTCCAATTTTGTTTTGAAGACTGTTGCTGTGCGACTGGTATGATCGTCAAAACGGCTCCAATAAAATTGAGCAAAGCTCGCACGTAAGACTGCCAACTGTTGTCAGACAGGGTGTCTATCAAAACCACTACTTCTCCACAGCAAGGCTATACGAAGAGAATAGGCTTCTAGACCTTGGTCAACGCTTATAATAAAAATATGTCGACGGTAACTTGTAACATGGGACGCGTGATATTTCGTGGCTTTTTAGGTCTGAATTGAACCATTAGGTAGATTGGCCGCACGCTTCCATTTTCGCCGTCTTTACTTTCACCCATCAAACTTATGCTCGATTTAACCTGCCTTTGATACCACGCACGACTTCCGTTACTTGTTGCTGTTTATGATATAAAGCAAGCAGGCAATACTCTATTCGGTCTGACAGTTTGGTATAAAATGAGGGCCGCCAATGCACCTCTTACATTGTACATGTACTTCATTATTAAACTCAAATTGGTGGGCAGCCGTGTTAGTCACACAAAATCAATTGTCGAGCATGCTGCATTTTTCAATTCTGGAAGGTCACAGGTACAATGGTTGTGATAAATTCTATTTATTAAAAGCCGCAAGACACCCGATACACAATGTTCACAATTTAAAGGTAGGTGTGCGAATGGTTGCGTTACATTCGCGTGGGTACTTGATAGTGTCACGTAACTTGCCGGTGTCACATGACTACACTAAAAAACTATTGCCTGGGTTAATTTTACCCAAGCAAGGGTAACAACTGCAACTACCCAAAATTGCGTTGTTCTACAGTGTGTATCAAAAATGCAAACAAAATATGACTGAATGCCAGACATAGAATGTGTTACCAACATAGTGTTTAGCGAATAAACACAATTCTGAACACTTTCTTGCTATCACCTCGTGTTAATTTTTTTTGTCATGTAAACATGTTTACAAACTGATAGCAAGAAAGCGTTTAGTATTGTGTTTACTCGCTAAACAATTTTTTTTGTAGGTCAGGCAAAACTCAGTCCCGTGGTCAATTTGACCTCTCTTGGAAAATCACTCATAACTCTGTCAAACATTATCAGGTTTGGACGTTTGATGTCTCATTTTAAAGTGGAAAGGCGTATCTTTCAAATCATGCCTATTTTATTTATGTTGGTTAATACACACTATACGTCTGGCATTCCGTTATAGTTTGTTTGCATTTGTTTTGATACACATCGTATAACCAATTGTTTGGGTTAAATTTTATTGAACCCTCGACCTCCCAGTCGACCGGTAAGTCATGCGGACAATTTGCATTGATGTACAGTTTCTAAGGATGTTCCTCAGCACAGCGCATTTCATTTAATTTGCTGTTAAAGGAAATACACATCATTTGCTTTTGCTGTAATTTTCAGAAATGGATGGAATTGGGGGGTTGGAAATATATAGCAAATATAGTTACACTGACTTTTTTGAGATTTTGGGTTCGAAAATGCTATAAAAACCAAGAAAAACAATCATTTTCCTGTAGTCTGGTTCCCTGACTCCATAAAGGAAGAAACAGAGCAGTTTACGTACATTGGGGAATTGTAAGAAACAGAGCAGTTTACGTACATTGGGGAATTGTAAGGTCAGGGAACCAGTCTAGCTGGCTTGTACCCGTTCATAGGTGTGTAATCGATTGCAAACAAGCGCGATGGTCGATTGGGGCCAGTATTTGAAAAAAGCCAGTTTTTTTCCAACGCTGGTCGGCCGACCAGCGTTGGAAATTGATACAAAAATACCACTTTTCTTGAAAATAGCAGTATACCAGTTGCCATGATTTAACAGGATGCTTTACACTGTCATTTACTAACAGTCCAGCAAGGTATTTCAAAATGATTTGGTAGTTTTATTGTTTGATGTTTGCAAATGTTGTATTTTCCCTTTAAACCGTTTTATTCCTCTTTATTTTTGATAATTTGTTTTTGTCGGGAGCATCAGTACCAAATTTGAATAATGGTTAATACCAACGACATCATTTTCCTCAGGCTACTTACATCTTACAGCGGGATATTGGCGCAATTCATAGCCGTACATTTCAACTAGTTACGGTGTCACATGAAAATCTGACTCCTATGAAAATCGGACCCCTTTTCCCTATTATTGGTTAATCCCTCTCACGTGACCGGTCACTTTCCTAATTACCATACTTATGCATGCGCGTTATTACCAATGAGTCCGAATTTCATAGAAACGTAAATTCACGCTCCACCGGCAGTCAGTGTGCGGTTGATGCGTCATGACATTGGTTTTTACTCCTACAAATATATGGGTGAGTCAAAAAAAGAAGGAAAAAAGCGGAGCCCCAACCCCAAAACTTAGTTTTCATATTTAAAAAAAAATAAGTAGCACCAAAAATAACAATGACCGAAAAGCCCATATCATAAGCTATTTTTAGGTGACAAAAAAGTACTGAAATTGCTCATACCGTTCAAAAAATATACACCATGTGTCGTCACAATAATTGTCTTTAAACATCACTAGCGAAAAAACCTCAATTTAAAAGTTAAAAACATTCAACAAAGTTCTTTGGAAAGCCTGTTTTCAAAAAGGTAGATTTTATAAATCATATTGTTTGCCTAACCAAGGTTGTTTATAAAGATATTGTGCACTACAGTTGTTGACAGTTGTTGAAACAAGCATTCTTTATCTGTGTTGTTCCAAACAGTAAGAATACACAATAAATCGTTTGTGTTTTTGGACGAAACAGGTTTTAGGGCCATTGCGTTTAAATGATGATATTCTTTACACAGATAGAGCAATTTCAGTATTGTTTTTTTCATCTAAAAATAGCTTTTGAAATTGGCTATCCAGTCATTAATGTGTTTGGTGCTACATGGTTTTTTTTTTAAATATGAAATATAATTTTTGGGGTCTGAGTTCCGCGTTTCTTACATCACCCTGTTCAACCTATCGTACAGCGAACGTTAACAATGCACTGCATTGAAGCACGGATTGATGTGTCAGTGCAAATCAATATTCATAGCATTGTCCAGGAAGTGACTTTCATAACAATTCAAGCAACAGTCGAAGCGGGTCACAGTTCACAAGCTGTATAAACAGTCGTCGAGACTTTCTGCAATGTGGCTGATAATACCTGCAAATCTCCTTATTTTTTTCTTTACAAAGCAAGGATACTCACATCATTTGTTTTTCCATGCTAAATTTGTTTTAACTGATGCGCCTGCCGACAAGAATTTATAAAAAAATAACGCATCAGCGATAAACAGAACTCTTTTAAAACGAAAGAACTGTGATAGGGAATGCTCTTGGAAGACTGCACATAAATACAACTTTCATGATGTACTTTGGTGGCGCGGCCGGCCCGGAAGGTGTGTTTTCAAAAAAAAAATGGAAAAAAAAGTAAAAAAAGTAAAAAAATGCACATCTACCTTTCGGCCGGTTTAGTTTTTTTCCCCACTGCTGGGCTTGGAGAATGTCGGGTGCGTCGCATAAAGTTGATTTGCTGAACGAAATGGTTAATTTGAGCCGTAGTTCGTAGTAAATGCCATAATAATTATGTTTCATGGAAACCTTACATTGAGATTACAGGCTTGCAGTAATCTGCTATCAATATAAACCGACACAGTACAAAGACATTAAGCAAGGGATGAACAAAAAACTTCTTCAACCTAAAAGTCAACTTTATTTTCAATGTGTCTTTTTAACTGTGACACTTTTCTGACGTTTAACACAATAAATCCATACTCGAAAATAATAAGGTTCAGGAAATAAATGCCAAACCTAAGTCATTTTGCTTTAAACCAGAGCCCAAATTCGTGACGCTGCTAAGTTCACTGGTAACCTGTTGCAACTTATGCAAATTGCTTGGGACTGGTACTCAGCTCATTCATGCTTAGCGTCCAAATTTGCTGAGAAACCTTTTTTTTCTCCTGCTGAACAGCTCCGTGAATTCGGGTCCGGGTTTAACACGAGGCATGCACGATTTGTCATTATGTACACGGTTAATGAACCTTTATTCACGGGTTGGCTATTTTTGTCGAGTTCCCTGAATGCATTTCATTAATTGTTAACTGTTGAATGGGATGGCGCCAGACTATTTATGCAGGCACAACTTAGCCTTATTTTACTGTCATTGTTTTTTAAAATCTGGCTTTAAACCTTGGGGAATATTTAATTTCAAATTTAACATTATTGATTGAAGCAGACTGAAACTAATTAGAAACTAAGTTACTTTCATTTCTCTTCACAAGTTCCAAAAATTAAGATTTTATCTCACTTTCAATATGGCCGACTCGTGAATAAGGCCCATAGTACATCTGTATCAGACAAGGTTTCTAACGATCGCCATCGTCATTTCACATTACGCTCCGTGATTGAGAACTTCTTCGTACTCGTAATGTTACGTTTTCCTATAATTTATGTTCGAAAAATGCATTTTAGTGTGAACTAATACACAGTAGCGTATCCAGCTGTTAATGTCCGCGCCAAAATGTAGAAATTGTTTTGGTTTTTATTTTTTGGACATTTGGCCTCCGTAAAATCAGAAAGCGGAGGGGGGGGGGGGGGGCTGGTACACATTTTTGGGGCGCTCTTAAAAACTGACCATTATTATGCATACTGGTACATAATGCCGATTTTCACGGCGCTTTTTAAGGCAAATAAAAAAAAAACATGTGTAGCGTCCAGCCTTTTTGAAAAAAGAAGAAGAAGTAGGAGTCCCCTTTGTAACCCAAAAATGGCCGCCAAACCCGGCTATTTTTTGAGATTGCCGCAAGCTTTTTTTTTAAATGGCCGCCATCGG